AGGTAAGGGCTGGCATGTCCTCCACCCTCTGCTGAGTGTTCTGGACCCAGCCAACCAACCCCTTGGGGCACCAGCTAGCCCCTTGAGTTACCAGTCACTCCCTGGGACAGCAGCCAGCCCCTTGAGACATCAGCCAGTCCCTTGGGACACTAGCTACCTCTTGGCCAGCTCTGGAGGGACTCCAGGCTTTGGTCCTCCAGCTCGCTTCCCACTCACATCTCCCGCTGCCTGCTCTGCCTGCTCCAGCTGCCTGTAGGGTTTCTGGGGTGCCACCCCAGACCTGGGGTGTAGCATCAGTCCAAGCAGTCATCCCTCCATCTTCTTCACTCCTGCTCTCATCCAGGTGCCAGCACCCATCAAGACGATGACCATCTCCTCCAAGAGGGTGAGTCATAGCAGAGACCTGGGTGGGCAGATCTCATCCTGGTCCCAGCGGTGGCATTGCCCAGCGCCACCACAGCACCCGAACAGGATATTTGCAGGGACCCTAATGTAGTGGGGATGAGGTAGCAGCTCACCCTGTCCTCCTTGTTCCCAACAGCAACAGCTGTATGTGTCCTCGGCCGTAGGCGTGACCCACCTGGCCCTGCACCGCTGTGACGTGTACGGGGAGGCCTGTGCTGACTGCTGCCTGGCCCGGGACCCCTACTGCGCCTGGGATGGCAGCGCCTGCACCCGCTACTCCGCCTCCTCCAAGAGGTACAGCGGGGGCCAGGACCAGGGGCAGGGGCAGGGAGGGACCCCCAGCCACAGGCTCCCCTCTCACCTCCCACTTCCCGCAGGCGGAGCCGGCGGCAGGACGTCCGGCACGGCAACCCCATCCGGCAGTGCCGCGGCTACAACTCCAACGGTGAGAGGGGCCTGGGCAAGGCCTTGTAGCATGGGGCAGCTGGGAGGGGAGGCTGAGGGCACGGGGCTGCAGCTGGGCATGCAGGGATTCCTTGGCGGGTGGATGTATGGGAAGATGTATGGATGAATAGGTGGGTGGGTGGGTGGTTGTAGGGAGGAAGATGAACAAAGATGAGTGGAAACATTGGGGATGAGAACAAGCACAGATGAATGGGTTGGTTCGTGGATGGATGGATGGATGGATGGATGGATGGATGGATGGATGGATACATTGGGGAATAGGATGAACATGGATGGATAGATGGGTACATTGGGGATGGATGGATAGATGGATATGTTGGGGAGAGATTGAACAAATTTGGATGGATGGATGGATGGATGGACACCCACCCTTGGAGACAGAGGGGGCAAGGGAGAAGTGCAGTGGGCTGGGGGTGACCTGGCTGCCCACGGCCCCCCTGCAGCTAACAAGAACACGGTGGAGGCCGTGCAGTACGGGGTGGAGGGCAGCACAGCCTTCCTGGAGTGCCAGCCCCGCTCGCCCCAGGCCAGCGTCAAGTGGCTGCTGCAGAAGGACAACAGCGACCGGCGGAAAGAGGTAGGGCAGGGCACTGCTGGGGTGTGGGGGTGCTGGCTGCCAGCGGGCTGAGCCGTGCTCCCTGTCCCCCCAGCTGCGGGTGGAGGGCCGGGTGCTGCGCACGGAGCAGGGCTTGCTGCTGCGCGCCCTCCAGCTCGGCGACAGCGGCCTCTACTCCTGCACCGCCACCGAGAACAACTTCAAGCACACGGTGACCAAGGTGCAGCTCCGCGTCCTCAGCAGCCGCGCCGTCCACACCGTGCTGGTGCAGGCGGAGACCCCCCCCGGCCTGCCGGGCGCCCCCACTCCCCGCTACCAGGACCTGCTGCAGCTCCTCAGCCAGCCTGAAATGGGACTCCTGGACCAGTACTGCCAGGGCTACTGGCGCCACACGGCCGCCAGCCCCCCGCAGCCGCTGGCTGGCCTCAAAGCCAAGGAGCAGCAGGACCAGAAGAAGCCTCGAAACCGCCGGAATCACCAGCCAGAGACCTATGGGCATACATGAAACCATCATCAGGGACTTTGCTAGCACAGTGGTCTATTTTTCCCCCCTTTTAATATTAAAAATATCTATAAATAAATAAATATATATATATATATACATCCATGCACACACACACACGCAGACACATGCGCTCCCCCCTCCCACGGGAGGTGGTATTTATTTGTAGCCTGTACATAGTCACTGGGGTGGTGCCACCCCCACCTCCCAGCTCCGGGGAGGAGCAGGGACCCCTGGGGAGGAGCAGGGACTCCTGAGGTGGCTGCAGCCACCATCGCTGTCTTCCCCCCTGCCCAGGACCCCCAGATGCCGTGGTGCAGGGACCATGGGTCACCGCAGCCCCTCTCCCACGCAGCGGGGCATGGCACCGTGCAGGGGATGGGTGCCCTTGTGTGGGAGGGGATGATGTCCTGGGGCAGGCACGGGGGAGGCAGTGCTAGACAAGGGCTGCCCACTGCAAGCTGGGCATGGCCATCGTAGTTTTGTGCCTCAGTTTCCCCCCAGGGTTGTGGAGGAGCAAGTGCTTTCTGTGGGGAAGCTGTAGGCCAGCAGGCAAGCTGAGGAGGAGGGGTGAGGGTACACGGCTCTGTCCCCTCCCTGGGGACATGGCAGGGGTGAGATGGGACCTCGAGGTAGGACCGAGGTGTTCGGCCAGTAGTGGGGGCTTGGCCCCAGGGTGGTTGGATGGAGAAGGGAAGGAGAAGGGGCCATGCTGGTGTAAAACCTCGAGCTGCTGCTGGGGCTTGGTGGCAGTGGCACCCAGAGGTGTTTGGGACCCCCAGCCCATCAGCCACCCTCTTTGGGCACCCCGGTGGGTGTGCAGGGTTGTAAATAGTTGTACATGGGGACCACAGGGGTGAGCAGGGCTGAGTGTGCCCTGCTGAGCTCGGGGCACTCCCGAATAAACTCTGGCTTTGGGACAGACGCGGGGCCTGCGTGTGCTCTGTAGGGACGGGCCTGGCCCCACCACGCGATCCCTGAGCGCTGCAGGGCACGCGGGGCTGTCCCTGGTGCTGGGTCACTGGTGCTGGGGCACACAGGGCTCTGGGGAGGTGGCAGCAGTGGGCGGCACTGCGGGTGTCGGGGCGCACTGGGCTGGGCGGGTGGCCGGTGCCACCACTGGGTGTTGCTGAAGGCACTGGGAGCACTCGGAGTCACTGCTGGGGGCACGGGAAAGTGCTGGTGGCCCTGAGGAAAGTTCTGGAACACTGGGATATGGTACTGGGAGCTGGCACTTGGCGGTACTGGCGGCACGGAGCGGGGCAGACACTTAACAGAGGGCACTGAGGGTGGCAGTGGATGGGACTGGGAGCGCTTTGATTGATACTGGGGTGGCACCAAGCTCCTCTGAGTAGTTCCAGGAGGCACTGGGGTCAGCTCTGAAAGGTCCTGGGCTGTACTGGGGGTAGTACTGAGCACAACTGGGAGGGCTTGGAGAAGTGCGAGGCATGAGGGCAGCAGGAGCTGGTACTGGGGCAGTGCTGGTGGTTCTCGGGCTGGCTGGGGCTGTAGTGGCAGCTCTGGGCTGTGGCAGGGCCCTGTTCAGCACAGGGGGATGGGTGGCACTGTGCTCCTCTGGCAGCCGTGGGAGGCGCTGCTGTGGGGACTGCGGGTGCTGGGGCTGTGCTGGGCTGTACTGGGCATACTGGGGTGCAGAGCTGTACTGGGGGTGCTGCAGCGCTGCGCTGGGAGCGCTGGGCTGTGCTGGGAGTGCTGGGCTGTACTGGGAGCTGCACTGGGCTGTACTGGGAGCCCTGGGCTGTACTGGGAGCTGCACTGGGCTGTACTGGGAGCACTGGGCTGTACTGGGAGCTGCACTGGGCTGTACTGGGAGCACTGGGCTGTACTGGGAGCACTGGGCTGTGCTGGGAGCACTGGGCTGTGCTGGGAGCTGCGCTGGGCGCTGCCGCCCTCTGGCGGCCGAGCGAGGCGCTGCAGGAGAGCCGCGGCGCGGGGACAAGGGAGCGCTGGGGACAAATGGGGACACCGGGGAACTGGGCTGTACTGGGGGCACTGGGGCAGTCCTGGCAAGGCCTGGAGTCACAGGGGGTGGGGGACACCGGGGAGTCACTGCAGTGCTCCTTGGGATACTCCGTTTTGCTGCGGTGGCCACATGGTGGTGGCAAGGGGGGACACTGGGGACATAAGAAGGGGGCGCTTGAAGGCACACTGAGGGACCCAGAGACATTGGGGGCTCACTGCCGCTGGGATGGTAACACAGAGGTGGCGGTGCAGTGCCCCTGGACGTTGGACAGGGCTTTTGGGGTTGGGGGGGTGTATGGTCCCCACACAGGAGCTGGAATTGCTTGGGAACACTGGGATTTCCTCCGTAGTCACTGGGGATGTTACTGGAGAGGGCTTTGGAAACGCTGTGGAGGGTGTGCGGGTATCCCTGAGGACATCGTGCAGGTGTTGCTGGAGGGCCTGGGGACGCTGTGGAGGTGACACTGAGCTGGCCTGGTGGCACTGGGAGTGTACTGGTGGGTGGCTGGGCAGGCACACTAAGAAATGCACCCGGGGCATGGGGACATTAGTGGGGGCTTCTGGAAGGACCCCTGGGGACACAGGGTGTGGTGACTGAGGCTGACATTCTGTCACTGTGGGGAGTGCCCGTGGGGACACTGGCATGGCTTACCGGAGTGGGACAGTGGGCACTGATCCAGAGCAGGGGTTTGCCCAGGTGAGATGGGGACAGTGGGGACATTTGCTCCCGCTCTGACCAGATCCCAGAGGACACACCATCCCCACCCCGCAATTCCAAACCCCTGGGGTCCACAGCAGAGCTGGAGATGGGTAGGGGTCCCACTTCCCGCAGGGTGGCCGGGTCACTGCCCCAGCCCCGGGTGGCGGCAAAGCTGGGCGCTGGTGGGGCCGGGGCACCCCCCCGGCAGAAGTGCTGACACCGGGAGCCGCGGGATTGCTGAGCTCAGCCCGCTGCAGATTGAAGGGGGTTTATCGGGGGGGCCCAGCTTAAGCCCCGGGTGCTGAGCGCAGCCCCCCGGCAGGCGGCCCCGCGGGACCTTGGCCCCGTCCTTGTCGCACATCGGGCGGGCGGACGGTGGCGGCGGCGGCGGCACCGGGAGCGGGCGCTGGAGGCGGCGGGAGGCTGGAGCTCGTTGCCCATCTTGGTGCTGACCTCCAAGCAGCGGCTGGTGAACAGCAGGGCTGCGGGGCTGAGCATGGGAGCCGGGGCCAGTGCCGAGGAGAAGCACTCCCGAGAGCTGGAGAAGAAGCTCAAGGAAGACGCTGAGAAAGATGCCAGGACCGTCAAGCTGCTGCTGCTGGGTAAGGGGGAGACAACACCCCGGGGGACATACCCATCCTTTTGCATCTCACCCTAACAGCCCACCCAAGGTGCCCCTCATCCCAACCAGCACCCCTCAACCCAACCAGCACGCCCCACAACTGCCCCCAAACCCAACCAGCCAATCCGACATTCCCCTGGCCCCCAGATGGACCTCCAAACCCAAGCAGCCCACCCTCACAGTTCATTGAACATTCTCCTGATTCACCCAGGACCCTTAAAACCAAGCAGCCACCCCAACATCAGCCCCATTCCCAGCAGCCCTAAACCAAGCCTCCCCTTCTCAAGAGCCCACCCAGTGTTTCCCTGATGCCTCCAGCGCCTTTAAACCAAACCAGCACAACCCAGGAGTGCACCCAACAGCCTCCCACTCCCAGGAATCTCTAAAACCAACCAACCCCTTCCCAGTAAAACACCCAGTTTCCCTGACCCCACTCTAAACCCAATCAGTTCAACAGTCCCCAGGCCCCTGCTCCTAAGCACCCCTAAACCCAGTCAGCCCACTGTAGCAGTCCTCTGACCCCCACAGCACCCCTAAAGCCAATCAGCCAACCTAAAAAGCCCACCCGGTGTTTCCTCTCTCCCTCAGCACCCTAAACCCAACCAGCCACCCCAACAGTTCCTCATTCCCAGGACCCTCTAAACCAGCTCATCACAACTTGGTCAGCACCCCTTACCAGGCACCCCAAACACAACAGACCATCTCAACATGAAGATAAGATCCTGAGATCCTAAGGTCCTAAGATCAACCCCCAAGATCCCCTGGTTTCTATATATCCCTCAACCCAACCAGCCCACCTAACATCCCCCCACTCCCAGGTCCCCCAACCCCAAGCAACCCATCTTAAGAGCCTACACCAACACTAGATATCACCACCCCAGCCTGTAAGCACCCCTGCCCCAAACTCCTAGGGACCCCCATGCAGCCCATACCACCCCCCCATGTGTGTCCCTGGAGCCCCCTTGTGCTATGTGTCCCTCCCAGTCCTTCCCAGTCCCCCAGTGGTGCCTGAGGATTGGGGTGCTGTGTATGTGGTGGGGCCATGGGTGGCATCACTGTCCTCACAGCCTGGCCCAGGAGGCATCTGCCTGCACAGCCACAAGTTTGGGGCATTGGGTGGTGGGTGGCAGGGTTGCAATGCCACCATGTCCCCAACCTCTCCCTTGGGTCCCTGAGAGTGTCCCTGGCTGAGCCGCTTCAGATCCCATTAGATGCAGCAGCTCAGGCTAACCTTAATGCCCCTGGCACCAGGTTAATCCCCCTGCACATCCTGAGCCATGGAGCCAGCCAACAGTGCCCGCAGCCACGTCAGGCACCAAGGTTCTCAGTGAGCCGGCACGGGGCTCAGCTGGGAGTGCCCGTGATGTGGGCACCACCGTGACCCATGTTTTGTCCCCTTAGGAGCAGGGGAGTCGGGGAAGAGCACCATTGTCAAGCAGATGAAGTAAGTGCCAAGGGGGGGTCACTTGATTGTGCCCACCATGCACAGTGTCTGTCCCACAGGGCAGCCACGGGGTGCCCTATCCCACTGTGCCTGACTCTGCCCCAGGCCACTGCCATGGGGTGCATCCACCGTGTGGCTCAGCTCCACGGCACCCAGCTCAGCCCCATGCCTGTGATCTTCCCCGGCCAGGATCATCCACCAGGACGGTTACTCGCTGGAGGAATGCCTGGAGTTCATTGCTATCATTTACAGCAACACGCTCCAGTCCATGCTGGCCATCGTGCGGGCCATGACCACCCTCAACATCCAGTACGGGGACACGGCTCGCCAGGTGAGGAGCATTCCATGTTGGGCAGGGGTTCCCTGCGGTCCCCAGGCCCCACTGAACCCCTCTCCCTCACAGGATGATGCCCGTAAGCTGCTGCACCTCTCGGACACCATCGAGGAGGGGACCATGCCTAAGGAGATGTCAGAAATCATCGGACGGCTCTGGAAGGACTCGGGCATCCAAGCCTGCTTTGACCGCGCCTCCGAGTACCAGCTCAATGACTCTGCCGGCTAGTATGTGTGCTCAGGGAGTGTGGGTGGGGGAGGCATCAGGGGATTCCAACCCGTGTCTCATGCCACCGCGTGCCTGGCCAGCTACCTGTCAGACTTGGAGCGCCTGGTGACCCCCGGCTACGTCCCCACAGAGCAGGACGTGCTGCGTTCCCGCGTCAAGACAACCGGCATCATCGAGACCCAGTTCTCCTTCAAAGACCTCAACTTCAGGTGGGGGCCAGGCCCCCAGTGAGGGCTGGTGCCAGGGGGTGGGCAGGGAGTGGGGGTGCTGACCTTCCTTTGTCCTGCCCAGGATGTTTGATGTGGGCGGACAGCGCTCAGAGAGGAAGAAGTGGATCCACTGCTTTGAGGGTGTGACCTGCATCATCTTCATCGCGGCTCTCAGTGCCTACGACATGGTCCTGGTGGAGGATGATGAAGTGGTGAGGAACGCTCACCACCTCACACCCTCTCTGCTTTGCCCTGATCATGACCTGGGTGTCACCACGGGGCTGTGTCCCTCCGCAGAACCGCATGCATGAGAGCCTGCACCTCTTCAACAGCATCTGCAACCACCGCTACTTTGCCACCACCTCCATCGTCCTCTTCCTCAACAAGAAGGACGTTTTCCTGGAGAAGATCAAGAAGGCCCATCTCAGCATCTGCTTCCCCGACTATGACGGTGAGTGGCAGCGGGGTGCTGGAGGGTTGGGTGCCACCACTCCCGCAGGAGTCCCCCACCAGGTGTCCTCAGCACCCCATGCAAGTGCTGCTGCATGAGCCTTGTTGAGGGAGGGTGCAAGATTTACCCACCCGAGGGAGCACTGGCTAATCCCGGGCCGGCGTTTTGGCGGGGGACACCAGCCCAGGAAGGGATCCTACTCACTGCCACACCACCAGGTCCCAACACCTACGACGATGCGGGCAACTACATCAAGCTGCAGTTCCTGGAGCTGAACATGCGGCGGGATGTGAAGGAGATCTACTCCCACATGACCTGCGCCACCGATACCGAGAACGTCAAGTTCGTCTTTGACGCCGTCACTGACATCATCATCAAGGAGAACCTCAAGGACTGCGGGCTGTTCTGAGCCCCAGCCGAGCACCCCCTCCCCTCGGGACCAGCCCCACTGCTGACCCCATTCCACCTCCACAACCATCACCACTTGCCCCAGACCCCTGGGATTTGACCTGCTCAGCTCCAAAGCCACCCCTGGTGAAGCGGGGAGGGGGAGGGGGGGTGCAGGTCACAATCTCACTCCCCCTCCCCACCAATTCTCCCACTGTAGGGCCCCCAGTTCTGCTAGGTCCTAGGGGTACCTGGATGACCCTGGATACTACAGAGTGCTGGATACTGCAGGGTGCTGCAGGTCCCTGGCTAACCCTCAGAGCTGTGGGGTATGGGGGTTCCCTTGGGTGCTGAGGGTCCTTCAGTACCCCTTGGAGCAGAGGGGTGTTTGGGGTCCTGGGTGTCCCTGGGTGTATTTGAGCGATCCTGGGGTGTCCCTGGATTCCCTTTAGAGCTGACAGGTGCTAGGGTTCCCAGATGACCCTTGGCACTGGGGAGACTGGGGGCTTTGGGTGCCCCTTGGTGCTGGGAGTCCCTAGTACCCCTTGGAAATGAGGGGTGTTAGGGGTTCCCTTGGGTGCTGGGCGGTCCAGGTGCCCTCTGAAGCTCTGGGTGCTGGGGTGGTCCCTTGGGTGCTGCTGGGTGTCCATGGGTGTCCCCCTGGAGCTGGGGGTGCTGGGAGTCTCCAAAAACCCCTCGGAGCTGGGGGTCCTTTGGGTGTGGGGTGTCCATGGGTGCTCCCTGGGGCTGGGGGTTCCTGTGGGCTGCTGGGTGCAAGGGGTGCTACATCTCCCTCTGGGCTACAGATCATTGGGTGTTCCTGGGTACTGGGTGTCCCCAGGGACTGTGTGATACTCGGCTCCCTTGGTGCCACCATGTCACCGCTGCAGAGCCAGGGGGTGGTCATGTGTTTGCTCCCCTCCACCCCACAGCCCCTCGGGGTAGGGCTCAGCCCTGCAGTAGCATCCCAGCTACACCTCCAAGGGTCCCACCATTGCCCTCACCTCCCATGACCAGGGGCTGCTCCTGATCCCAGGGGGATGCCAACCCACCTTGAGTCCCTCTCCCATACCCTGGGGACCACCCCAGCCCTCCCACGGATGTGAAGTCCCCCTGCCCACTCCCACGTCATACAGGGCGTTTCAGTATATATAATGTTTCTCTCTTTTTTTTTTCCTTTCTACATTTTATTATTTCAAACCATGTGAACAATTCGGTAAAACATCCTGTGGGAAAAGCGAGGCCGCAGGCACCGGCTGAAGGGTCCCCCTGGGCTGGGGGACAGCGGGGGCCGCTCTGTACAGCGGGCTCTCCTCGCCCAACGCAACAGCTAGCCCTAAAAACTAGGCTTAGAAAGAGGGGGGGGGGATAGAGGCAGTGGGCAGCACCCCCTGCCCACCCTGCTGCCTGAGCTGCCCATGGCATGGGGGCAGCGAGGCGGGGTGGGGTGCAGACCCTCCCCCCCAAAGGCACACGGTTGGGGGGTGGGCTGGCCACAGAGGATGCCACCACCATGTAGCACTTGATGCTTTTAAATAGTTTGGTAAAAAGGTTTCTTTAAAAAGTAACCTGTGCCCAACCGGTGTGGTGTGGGTTTTTTTGCATGGTTTTGGGTTTGGTTTTGTTGTTTTTTCCTTTTTTTTTTTTTTTTTCCTCCTTTTTTTCTTACTTCTTTCTTTTCTGGTTTACTAAAAGGAATGTCATCGGTCGTGTTTGTGGCTGGGTGGGCATCCCCGAGGGGACCCTGTGCCCCCCGTGCCAGCAACACTTGCAATGTAAACAGTGAGAGCGCCAGGGCTCGGAGTGAATGAAACGGGGGCTGGAACGGTTGAGGGGGTACAAGCCAAGATTAAAACCTTGTCTTCCCTGGAAGGGCAATGCCGGCGAGGAGGAGGACAATGGTGGGGGGCAAACACGGCCAGCAGGGGGTACATGGCCCCTGCCACCATGCTGACACTCAAAAAGTCTCTTTACGTGGTGGGCGGAGGAATGAATCTGAAGAGAAGCAGGAGTGGGAGATGGTGTGGTCCTTCCTTTGCAGCTCCTAGGAGAGAGAGGTCGTGAGCAGGGGAGGGTCTGGGGACAGGGCAGCCTGCAGCTGAAGGATGGTCCGTGACCACCCCATTTGAGGAGCCACTAGTGAGACCACCACCCACCTGGGCAGCGCTGCCCTCAGAAGAGGCCACAGTCCTTCAGGTTGTTTTTGATGATGACGTCGGTGACGGCATCGAAGACAAACTGCACGTTCTTGGTGTCCGTGGCACAGGTGAAGTGGGTGTAGATCTCCTTGGTGTCCTTTCGCTTGTTCAGGTCCTCGAACTTGCTCTGGATGTAGCTGGCTGCCTCGTCATACTTGTTGGCCCCTGGGGAAGAAGAGACACTGGGCTGCCCCATAGTTGCCCACAGCCACCAAAGGGTTTGCGCTTGGCTTGGCCCTCCACAGCCACTGTCCTGCTGCCAAACTGAGGCTCCAGAGGCACAATGAGCCTCAGATAACACCCCTTTAGGACAGCTGCCCCTTGTGTTGGGTCCCTCCACATCTCCCATCTCCTGGGGCAACCCAAACACCGATCACACCCCACTTGCTGCCCCAACCCACTGCTCCTGCCAGAAAGGAAGGGGGCACAGAGGGTCCCAGTGGTACCTGTGTACTCGGGGAAGCAGATAGTGAGGGAGCTGTGCACGATCTTCTCCTCAAAGAGGTCCTTCTTGTTGAGGAAGAGGATGATGGATGTGTCTGTGAACCACTTGTTATTGCAGATGCTGTCAAACAGCTTCATGCTCTCATGCATCCGGTTCTGGCAGGGATGACAGCAACATGAGCCAGGCAGAGACCCCCAGGCAGCACCCACCCCACTGCTCCCCAAAGTGCGACCCCCCATGCTCCTGGGCAGGGGATGCCAATGGCCCTGCAAAGCTTGGGCCACACTGGCCAGGGCACTGGTGGCCACCAGAGGAGGGGCTGCTCCCCCAGCCCCCCATGGAGGGGACAGCTCATGGCACTGGCTCCATACCCGTGACTCACCATCTCCTCATCTTCAGCCAGCACCAGGTCATAGGCACTCAGGGCCACACAGAAAATGATGGCTGTCACCCCCTCGAAGCAGTGGATCCACTTCTTCCGTTCCGAGCGCTGGCCACCCACATCAAACATCCTGCAGCAGGGGGTGACACGGGATGGATGGCAGCTGCCAGCCCCACCACCCTCACCCCATGCCCTGTCTCAGTGTTCCCAGCTGCCTGGAGCAGGAACAGCACTGGTGCAGGCAGAGTACAGTGCCTCTGCCCCAGGGATTTTGCCAGTACTGAGGATCTGCCCCGGGTCACGCTGCCAGGACAGTGTCCAGGGTCATTTCCTAGCCAAAGCAAATCCCTGACAAGAGCTGAGGCAGGATCAGGTCACCTTTCCCAGGGTGTGTCAGTGTCATGCTCCCCAGAGACCTGCTCCAGAGCAGGCACAAGCAGGGCTTTGCCAGAGACCTTGGACCAAGGGGAGCCAAGTCACTGTGGGCTCAGCAGGATTGTGGCAGCAGCAGGGCTCAGGGATGATCCTGATGCACCATGTGCCTCTCCCTCCACGGGCAGCAGAGGAAGCCCTGTCTCCATGGAGGAGAGCCCAGCAGTAGCATTCCACATCCACTGCCATGCCCATTCCCAACTGTTTGGCTGGCGGGAAGGCTTCCCCATGGGACACACTGCATTCCCCCCAGACCACCCCCACTGCCACCCCCAAAGTGCTGCCCTGGCAATGCACAACCAAGTGCATCCATTCAACCAGGGTGGCATGGGACACCTGCAAGCCCCCTGCATTCAGAGAGGACCCCAGCAGATCTTCCTGACATCAGCTCTGTTGCCATGGGACTAAATCCCCCGGGGATGTGCACAATGGCAGCTTTTTGCCTCCAAAACTGGAGCCCTTATTATTTCCCATGGGTTTTCAGTGGAAAGCAACCATGGGATGCCAGCAGGCAGCGCTGCCACTGCCTGACCCCGAGACCCCAGCTCCTGCCCAGTGCCCTTCCTGCAGCGGAAGCAGCGTCACAGCAGCGGGAGGAGGGACGCCTTCCCCCTCCCCTCCTCGCCAGAGCCTGGATCCGCCCCCAGGCTGAGTTCTGTGAAGTGTTTTTGAGGCTGTTCCAGCTATTTCAGCGGTTTCCGCTCTCTGAGGCAGCAGTTCCCGCCATGAGCAAACCAGGAGGTGGGGAGAACTGAGTGCACGCAGTGTGCACCCATGGTCCATCCCAGCATGGGGAGGAAGGGATTTTTTTGCTTCCAAAAAGGCAAAAGGAAAAGAGGTCAGACATACTTGAAGTGCAGGTCCTTAAAGGTGAAGTGAGTCTCCACGATGCCCGTGGTCTTCACCCTGGTGCGCAGCACGTCCTGCTGGGTGGGGATGTAGTCGGCACGGGCTATCCTCTCCAGGTCGTTCAGGTAGCTGGGGACAAAGAGGAAAGGTGCTGTGGGAGCTGGAACATGGGGCAGAACCCACCCAGACCCCATGGGACATCCCCACACTGGCCCAGAGTCTCCTGTCCATCTCGCAGCATTGCTCAGTTGGGGTGGGCAGTGCCAAGCTGGGACACACAGCAGAGGCTCCATGTGCATCCTGGGGTAACCCTGTGTCCCTGCCAGACACAGGCAAGGCAGGACACCAGTGGCCAGGGTGACATGAGACACACAGGACCGAGGGACTGAGGGCAGTGTGCTGGCACTGGGAGCCCAGCAGAGGATACAGGGGGGGCTGAGGGGCTCACCCCATTTCCCTGGCTGTTTGCACAGCGGGGAAATGGCAAAAGGCAAATATTCAGTGCTATGGCAACCAGCCGCAGTGCCGGCGGAAACAATTGATGGCGCCATGCCATTTATAGTCAAAAACACAAAGGGACGGCGTCCTGGGAGGAAGCAGGAGGCGGGAGGCCAGAGAGACAGGGAGCAGCGCCGGGGGGGCTGCAGGCGTCCCCAGCCCCCCGGGGAGCATCGCCTGCCCTGCTGCCCGCAGGGTCCCGGCAGAGGTGGTGGCCGGGTCCCCAGTGGGCAACACCCACCAGGACTGATGAGGGCTGCCAGGGGGATCAAGGCA